CCGCCCCGCATCCCCCCGGGGCCGCCTCGGCCGCGGTCACCGCCTGGGGGAGGAGGAGAGACCCTCAGAGTGACCCCAAGGCAGCACGTCCCACTCCCACATCCCCGGGGTCCCAGCACATCCAGCTCCGGCAGGAGCAGGGCCGGGAGCTGCTGGGTACCCGAGGGGATTCAGGTTCGTTAAGGTTGGAGCAGCGCCCTGGGGCGTTGGGGTGGTGCTGACAGCCCCCCAAATCCAGGAAACACAGGAGAAACGGTGATCCCAGCCTCCAGGTCATGGCTCACGGAGGGATGAAGGCCTGGCAGCTCTTGGAGCTGGCCCAGCCACTCCCCACAGAGCCCGAGGCCAGGCCTGGGGTGTCCCATCGGGAACTGGGGCTGTGACACCCCCCAAACGTACCTGGAGGAGGGAAGGGGGGCGGGAGGAACCCCTCCGGTTTGGGCGCCTTGCACTGGTTGCACTCTGTTCTCCAGGCAAAGTTCTGGTTTCCACAGCCCCTGGGTACAAATTCCAGTTAGCCCAGAGTGGGACAGCATTCCAGCTGGGGTGACATTGGGAAGCACGAGCAGGAGAGCACGTGGAGAGGGGACACCAGGGCAGGAGCTGGGGCACAGCTCCCGCGGTGGGGTGGGGGTCTGGCAGCCCCCGGGAGTGACCCCATCCCTCCCTCTGTGCCAGCTGGAAACAGTTTCTTGGGAAGGCCCAGCGAGCGATTTTGGGCAGCCCCGTTGGCACAGGGTGTGGCAGCAGTGGGTACTCACGGGTTGGGGCACTGCCAGTCTCCGGCGCGGTGCTGCACGCTCCCTCCGGACGGGTTTCCCCGGGATCCCCGCGGTCCTCTGGAGGAGAAGCCGCCCCTGTCTCCGCCTCTTCCCCCCATCCGGCCCATGGGGCCGCTGGGCCCGCTGGGGCCCCCTGGGCCACCGGGTCCCCCTGGACCTGCGGGAAGGAGCCCCGTTAGTGCTGGGAGCCACGGGAAGGCCGGGGAGCAGCTCTGGGGGGGCTGCACGGTACCTCCACGGAGGGGTGGGGGCATTCCCCGCTGCTCCCGGGGGGGTATCCCGCCCCTCAGGCTGTTCATCGGGCCCTTCTTCCGCGCCAGGGTCACCTTCAGCTTGCTCCCCTGGAAATCCTTCCCTGGGAGGGACACAACGGGCAGGAGCATCGGTGAGTCACGGCCCTGCTGCACACAGGTGCTTCCCACACCTGGAAGTTTTGCAGTTCCACCCCAAAACGACCCCCAGCTCTCACCATCAAACCACTCCACGGCTGTTTTGGCAGTGGACGGGTCATCGTAGGACACGGTGGCATCGCCCTTGGGCTTGCCCGTTTCCTTGTCGATGTAGAGGTTTATCATGGGCTGCCCCGTCCTCTTGTTCATCTAAGGGACAGCACAACGTCACCCGAGTCCTGTCTTCCCACTGCCCAGCGGGGACTTGCTCTGCTTTCCAGCAGCAGCTCATTCCAGGGACTCCAGGACAGCAGAAAGGGGCCCCAGGCCTACCATGGATGACAGCGACTGCCCACACACCCCAAAAACAAAGGGATGGGCCCCAAACAGCACTGCCAGGCCTCTCCCAGGGCCTGGACAGGACAGGCCTGAAGGATGTGAGCAATGGGCAGGGAGATGGAGAAGGAAGAAGAGGAGGTAAGGGACCCTGTTCCCTCTGCCAGCTGGGGGTCACTGGTGTCCCCTCACCTTGACAACACCGCACTGTTTGAAGAAATCTGCCAGATCCTCCAGGGTCACATTATCATTGAGTCCCTGCACATAGACTGCAGTGCTGTCCGAGTCCTCCTCCGGGTCCATGGGGGGGCCTAGGAGACAATTCCTGGGGTCAGTGCAGGCGGAGGAAGGGCAGGAATGCCCCAGGGCCGAGTTCTTTCCATCCCCTCCATGGCTGCGGCTTCGCTCTCTGGGAGTGACAGGAAACCCCAGGCCCACGGGAGGTGACTGTCCCCAACCTCACCTCCCCAGTGCCACGGCCAGACAGAGCCCACACCCACCCACGTGGGAAGAACCCCCAGGTTATTCCAGGACACATCCCAGAGGAGATGAGGAAGACCTTCGTGGCCCCTGGGCTCCCACACAAGGACATCCACCCCCCTTTTCCGATGCTGGAAGGCTGACGCAGAACTTCCAGACACGCCTGGGACAGGAAGGGACGAGCCACGGACGAGGCTCTGGGGGTGCTGCAGGCCCCCTGGAAGAGCTCCAGAGCAGCCCCCGACCCCCCTAATTCCTGCAGAGAAGGGGGAGCATCTCCCAACCACGTGTGGTTGTTTCCAGCTGTTTGGGAAGGAAGAACCGATGGGAACAGGCAGAGAGGCTGCAAGTGGCGGTGGGGTGACACACGGCAGCCCTTGCAGCAAGGACACAAAGGTCTGTTTGACAGCCTCAGGAGGGAGTTTGGTGGGAATTACCTAAATCCAGGTCGGGTCCTTCCTCCATGTGTCCTGCCAGGCGGGAGAGAAGCATAGGGAAGGGTGTTAGTGGGGGCCCTGCGGGCTGGAGAACCGACACACACAACACTAGCTACGACCTGCGCCGCACAAGCAGCAGCACTGCACCTTACTGGGCCATCAGGTGGCTCTTTTAGCATTTCTTCCAACCAAAAACCACTATTACACTGGTTTTAAGCAGTTTTTTTTCCAACCAATAACCACTATTACACTGATTTTTTTTTTAGCAGTTTTCAAACCATTAACCACTATTACACTGATTTTTTTTTTAGCAGGTTTCAAACTGTTAACCACTACTAACGCTGATTTTTTAAAAAGGTTTTACCAAGCCAATCGGTTTTTAAGTTCATTAATAAAAGTTACTTAATATATCTATATATATTTTAAAAAAAAGAAAAAAAAAAAAGATTTATTACATCCAAACCATTTCTTTTCCCCAAAATTACAGGAGTGGTTGCTCAACTCTTCCACTGTGTCCGCACACCCCTGGGCATCGCCGGCAGTACCCATTACAGTCTGGTTGCATATTGTCATTTTTTTAAACCACTTAAATGAATAAAAAAATTTACACTTTGTGCTAAAAAAAAAAACTGACTGCAATTTTTTTTTTTTTTTTTTTTTTTTTTTTTAACACTATCCATTGTAATGCTCAAAAACTTACCACCAGGCTTATTGAAGCCACCTCGCTCTCCAGCGCTGCTGGGGGGATAAACGAAGAAATGAAGGCCTTTCCCTTTACAAAGCCAGCACCGCTCTGAGCCTCTGCGGCTCACAGGGGAGAAGGGCACTGGCTAAACATCTCCAAACATCTCTCTGTCTCTCTCTCATCTCGGCACTAGGCCTTTCTTCAGGGCAGCTCGCTCAAATTTTCTTTACATATAAAGCAACCTTGGTGTGGTTTGAGGCACCGCTTTGCTGTCGGTGCCCTGGCGTTACTCGGGTATCATCAGTGCAATACTTGGCCGAGAAATGGGGGTTGTTTGTAATCAAAGTGAGGGTGGTTGGTTTTTTTTTTGTTGTTGTTGTTGTTGAAGAGCAATTTGGGGATGTTTCAGTGGTCAACTCCCTCCCCTCGGTGTGTCCACCAAGGTGCACCCTCAGCCTGTGGCAGCGCGGGCCCGCGGGTCCCTGACATTTAACAGTGTAAAAGGAGACAAGCCACACGCGAGACCTACAACACAGTTCAGCTGACATCGCCCCTAAAACCCTCAAAGTAAAGCCATACATTCAGGTCACTACTGAATTTAACAACTCTCTGGAGGGAGAACTTACAGAGTACAGCGGGGGCTCCGAGGCCTGGGGTGCAGCTTTGTGGACACACTCACTTTTGGGCAGGTGCCAATGCAAACGGGGCCGCAGCTTTCACCAAAAGCTTTGGCTGAAGCATTCACAGCTAAAACTGCTTTGGAGCGTGGTGGTGAAGTAGGAAAACGCCACCTTGAGAAAGGATTTGGGCTGTTTCTTGCTCTTTTTTTGGGTGAGCCAGCAAGCTGTTTGGAAGGAGCCGAGCGGAGGAGGGAGAGCACCGTGAATTTTTCTAGCAAGTATTGCACCTCTAATACTGGGATAAAAAAAAGTCAATACAGAATTTCGAGCTGTTGCATGCAGCTTTGCCTCCTCTCGTTAAAGTACACACCATTTACGTAATGTCTCTCTTTTTAAACATAAGATTTTTACACTTTTTTTTTTTTTTTTTTTTCTTTAACGTTACACAATTCTAAAGTAGTAGTATACCCTCCTCTGGTTTTATTACCAAACAACAAGTATGCAGTTACCAAAGTTACAGAAGGATTCCGTTTATACAATCAATACATTGGGTTAAAAATATTCTATGTATATTTTTCCTCTCCATATGGACACCGTGTCTAGTCCCACTTTTCATTATGCTGCCGGCTGAGTACTGAGTACGGGTACTTTTTAAGTATTGAGGTGTTTACAAGGCTCTCACTTTGTAACCTGTAGCATATAAATGCGACAAAGCATGTTAAAAAGTTTTCCATTTTCATAAAAATATCAAATCATCGAGGCAATGAAAAAGGGCATGTTAATAACATCGAGCTCCTTACCTGCTGGAGACACTGAAATCCATCACCACAGCATGCTAAGGTGGGCCGAGTTCCCCTACCTGCCCTGGGTGTCCCCTGAAGCCACCTGTTCTATGGACATCACAAACTCTACGTCCATAAGGCCGGGGGGACGACCCTTTGTAAGGGTCTGGCCAGGTGGGAAATCACTCGGGAGGCAAATTTGAGCTGGGATTAAGGTGTGAGATCAGAGACAGGTGACAAATCTTTGGCAATGAGAAGCTCGGAAGGGGCTAGAAATTTGAAGATGTGATGATAGACATTTCAGGTGTCTACATCTACTTCCATCGTTAAGACATCAATACGGCAAGGCTGAAATCTTTATGCAGATCCCTGGAACTCTGTTCCACCCGAGCCAATTCCAAGCTGGATGTGTTCCCACACAAAACCAGCCTTTTCCATTCTTTCCTGGATGTCTCTGATAAAGATTTCATGCCACGCCAACGGGCTGCAACAGAGCTATGCAGAAAGGGGCCAAGCGCTGCCAAACTGAGGCTGTCACCGGGCTGTGCCACGCGGGGAGAAGTGGCCTCTGGAGGGCAGCTGCCATCACAGCCACCCTGCCAGCGCCGGGGCGGGCACGGCGTGTCCTGTGCCACACCTGGGGACACTCTGCACAGCTCTGAGCAACGGGGTGAGGGGATGGAACACACACAAAGCTGTCAATTCTGCCTTGGAGGAGCCTTTGGGATGAATTCTCCTCCCTCGCCTCTATCAGAACGACCTCCACGGATGGGGACACACCTGAAGGCGCAGGTGGCACCAAACCAGGTTGTGCCATCAGGTGAAATGGCCAAACTGATTCAGAGCACCTGAATGCTCCAAGGGGGAGCAGGCCTGGGAGCCAAAGCACTTCCTTCTCTCTGCTCTCGGGCTCCCTATCCACGCGCTCCAAGTGTTCCAGGCACTCCGAGCTCGCAGGCTCCGCGGGAGGAGGCTGACACGAGGCTCCTGCCAAAATCCCCGCTCCTGAGGCCCAGGGAGCATCCCCTGGAGCTGGTGGGAGGTTTGTGTGTGTTCCACCCAGAGTTACTGTTAAACCCCACAGAGGATTCCACCTCTGGGCGACCGTGAAGGGAGCTGAAAGTGCCAGGGCCAGCATTACCCCCAATTTCCCCCTCCCTGGGGGCCCAACCAGCTGCAGGACAAACCAACCATCCTGCTCCTATTTCCCTTAGGATAATGTTTCCATGGATGACAAGCAATGCTGCTACACAGAGATGTCCTCCGTGGAAACACAGCTGCGAACGTCAACCTTTCAGTCCCTTCTTTTGCGTTTCAAATCCTATGGGTAAACCAGAATTAGAGAAAAGGAAAAAAAGCTTTGCTCTTACCCCATTCCACCGCGTCCTCCTCCCCGCCCACCTCTGCTCATGCCTCCACGCTCATATCCCCCTCGTCCCCTGCCCCGGCTATCGGGGCCGCTCAGATTCCGGCTCTCCCCGGGGCCGGAGAAGCCTCCGGATTCCTGCCCGTACATGTTCATGCTGCTGGGATGGTCCTGGCGGAAGGAGCCTGGGGAAGGGTGGAAACAGGTTAGGGAGAGGCAGCTCCTTCACCTGCCCTCAGCTCCAGCCACGACAGCAGCGTTGGAGTTGTTCAGTTTGGGAAAATCCCTCTGAGAGCATCGACTGCAGCTGTTGTCTCAGCTAAAGCCACCAGTGCCCCATGTCCCCAAGTGCCACATGGCTCTTAAATCCCTCCAGGGATGGGGACTCCAGCACTGCCCGGGGCATGAACAATGTGAAGAAATTTCCCCAATATCCAACCTGACCATCCCCTGGCACAGCCTGAGGCCACTCAAGCGGGAGGAAGAAAGGAAGAGGAGAAAGAAGAGGAGTAATGGGAGATGGAGAAGGAAGAGAAGGAGGAGGAACAAAAGGAACAAAAGAAGGAGGAAGAAGAGAATGAGGAGGAGGAAGAAAAAGAGGAGAAGGAGGATGAGGATGGGATGGAGGAGAAGGATGAGAAGAAGGAGGAAAAAGAAGAGGAAGCAGAGTCCCATCTTGTCCCATCACTTACTCCCTGGGCGCAGAGCCCAATCCCCGTGGCTGCCCCCTCCTGTCAGGGAATTGTGCAGAGCCAGAGTCCCCACTGAGCCTCCTTTTCTCCCGGCTGAGTCCCCTCAACTCCTCCCCACAAACATCCTGTGCTTATGTTCTCACCTTTCCCCTGAGGGGATGACCCCAACCTACCACTGCCTCCAGAGATGCCACTTTTCATCACAAAAGGCCAAACCCCAGCTCCAAACCCTCTCTCCCTTCAACTCAGCTCTGAGTTTTGGATCCAAACTAAGGCCAGGGCTCCTTCCCAGGGATTGCACTCACTCTGCTGGCCATAGCTGCTGCTCTGCTGGCTGTACTGGCTGGGGGCCTGGCTGTAGGATCCCGTGGGAGGTGGGTAACTGGTGGGAGGTGGCTGCTGCCCGTAGCTGCTTTGCTGGCCATAACTGGTCTGCTGGCCATAGGAGCTCTGCTGCCCGTAGCTGCTCTGCTGGGAGTAAGTGCTCTGATCGTAACTGCTTGGCTGTGTGGAGGAATAGCTGGAAGAGAAAAGCGTTGGGAAAGGTGGGATGATGAGGCAATTCCCTGGCAGCGTGCATGGAGTGGCTCATGCTGGAAGGCAATGCAATTAGAGGCTGTATTTAGTGCTGTAAATCACTTTAAAAGCTGAAGTCATGCTATGGAGGCCAGTCTGGAGGGCCTTGAAAGCAAAAACCACATGGCCAATCCCAGTTTATTCACAACTCTAGGAAAAGGCACAAGTGCCAGGGCAAAACTCAGTGGTAATGGAAGTAACAGGCCCTGGATAAAAGAAGTTCCCCTCATGCAGCTGAGGCTTTGAGAATTTCACAGTGTACGTTTTAGAAATCACATTAAAGACACCTGAGGGGAGAAGGGAGCTCCTGGCCAAGCTGAATGTGGAAGAAGGCAGCAAAAGGTGACTCTAGGAAAATTCTTAAAATTCTCAAAGTCTTAAAATAAATAAATAATAATTAAATAAAAATTATAAAGTGCCTTAAACCCATCTGTCATTATTTTCCTTCCCACGTGTGCACACACAGAGCGCTCAGGCACAGCCTCCCCACCCCCACCACAGCTACAAAAAGCACAGCTCCTCCTCCCAGGCCACCAAAGCTCCTTTTCCATAAAATCCCCCAGGAAAGGCCCCTGTCTGAGCCCTGCCAAGCATTACCTGGTCGGAGGGTAGGAGGGTGGAGCGGTGACAGGCTGCATGGGGTAGCTGGCAGGCACCTGGGGGTAGCTGTAGTTGCTCTGCCCGTAGCCCAGGCTGGGCTGGCTGTAGCCTGTCGTGCTGGACTGGGGCTGGCTGGTCTCTGCCGGTTTGCTGCCATCCTGGGGTCTGCAGAGAAATATGGAACAACATCGGTGCCCAGCCCCACGGCTGGCAGCAGCACAGGGCTCACATCCCCCCAGCACTGATGCTTCTGACCTCTTTTTTGGGGTAGCACGAAAGCTGGCTGTGATTGGTGACAGCCAATAAATAAGTAATAAACACAACTGTAGCACTCACTGCCTGGGTATTTGCACACTCCTGAACAGAGAGCATGGAATACCACAGCTCCTGCTCATCCCAAAGCCAGGGGTTCAGACTCTGGCTGTGGGGCTGAGTGCAGGAGGTGGAATGCCAGCAAGGCTGCTCCTGCAGAGCTCTGGGACAGCAGGAGCTGAAGCAGCCAGCAAGGCAGGCAGTGAAATGCCCCATTGTTTGGTTCAAAATCCAGCTCAGGCAGATATTGCCTCATATACATTATCCCAATTATCCCATGGAAGAGAAAGGATGCTGGGCTAGGACCCCTCCAACCCAAACCACTCTGTGATTGAGTCTTTAGAACCAACTCTCAAGGCCTGAAAATTGAGAACCCTCTGCATGTGATTCACAAATCCCCTTCTGCATGTCCCAGAGTTTAAAAGCCGTGTGGATGTGGCACTTGGGGACAGGGTTAGTGGTGGCCTCAATGATCTCAGAGGGCTTTTCCAACTCAAAGGATTCCATCAGTCTTGTAATTTTTATGTGTTTCTCGGAATGGAGTAAATAGAATGAAGTTGCTTTTGCCGTAGAAGCTGGGAAAAATTATTCACAATGTCAGGATTCCTCCTGTAAATTTACATCCCTTTAAAGTGTAACTTGTCAGAGCTGTGCCAGGCTCTGCCTTTCCTTCCTCAGTGCTTGCTACAGACACCAGGTAAGGGAACAAATCAGCTTTTACTCACTTCTAAACAAGTTTCCATTATGTATTCTAAATTTTTCATATCCTCTAAGCAAACAATTTGACTCAGTAGATGACAGGCAGTGCCCAGAGGGGTGAGATTGAAAGAGGAAATGTTTTGCAGCCTGCACATCCACCCCAGCATCCTGCCTGACCCCGTGACTCGGGAGCAGACAGGACTCAGCCCTGTGCTGTACCCTGAGAGCCTGATGTGGCTGTGTGGTGGCTCCCTGGTCCTGCAGCAACGGCGCTGACTCACCGTGCTGGAGCACAGCCCTCCCACGCTGCGCCCCGGCCCCGCAGCGCCACGGGGAGGAGGGGCTGACACAGCACCCGCTGGGGAGAAATGGGAGGAGGAGGGTGAAGAGGAGTAGAAGGAGCAGGAAGAAGAGATGGGCAATGAGGAGAGGAAGAAGAGCAGGAGGGAAGAAGAGATGAAGGAGGAGAAGGAGGAACAGGAGGAACAAGAAGAGGAGAAGGAGGGAGAAAGAGGAGAAGGAAGAAGAGAAGGACTAGGAAGAAAAGATGGAGAAGGAGTGGGAGGAAGAAGGGAAGAGAAGGAGAAAGAAGAGGAATAATGGGAGATGGAGAAGGAAGAGAAGGAGGAGGAACAGAAGAAGGAAGAAGAGAGTGAAGAGGAGGAAAAAAGAGGAGGAGGAAGAGAAGGAGGATGAGGATGGGATGGAAGAGAAGGATAAGGGGGAAAAAAGAGAAGGAAAAGAAGGAGGAAGAAGAGACAGAGGAGAAGGAAAAGGAGGAGAAAGAGGAAGAAGGAGAAGGAAGAAGAGGAGTACCTGGCGGGAGCGGACGGGGCCGGCTGCTGCCCGTAGGCCGGGTAGGCGGGCTGGGTGCCGTATGCGGACGGGGCGGCGTACGAGGTCTGGCTGCTGGTGACCGTGGCCGTGTTGGTGTCGTAGGCGGCGCTGCCGTAGCCCTGCACGGGCTGGCTGTAGGCAGGGGGGGCAGTCGGGGCGCTGTAACCTGCAACACACCACAGCTCAGCCCCACAGCTCCACTGGGAACCACGCAATTCCAGCATGGGCTGCGTTGGAAAGGAGCTTGAGGCTCATCTCTCTGCCATGGGACACCTTCCACCAGGAGAGGTTGCTCTGAGCCCTGTCCAGCCTGGCCTTGGACACTTTCCAGGGATCCATGGGCAGTCACAGCTTCTTTGTGTCACCTCCCTCAGCTCAGCATCCCATCTAACCCTGCTCTCTGTCCACATTCCCCCTCATCCTTTCCCTCCAGACCACTGTCCCAAGTTCCCTCTCCGGCTTTCCCAAATATCTCAGACTCTGGCCCTTGTGGTGCTCCTGGGACTCAACACAAAGACACAGCTTTACCACCACAAAACCACCTCTGACAACCCAAAAATCATCAGTTACCCACCCCTGCCCCTCTGCCTTCCTCACAGAACCCTCCCACCTTGGGAAGCCTTGGCCTCCAGCCCCTCAGCATCCCAAAATCCCACTCCCAGGAGCTTTCTGGAAGCCACCCCTGGACTATCACCCAGGATTGTTTACAGCAACCAGAACTCAGGCAGGGCAAGCTGAGACATGGAGCATCTCCTCAACAAAGGCAGGGTAACAAACCCCCCTGAGCTCCAAAACAGAAGAAATCCAACTGATTTAGCAAGTACAGTCCCATCCTTTTAGCTTTTCTGAAAAATAAAGGCACAAAACCTGACCTGGGAAACCTTTCAGAGGCATTTCTGAAGGCTTATTTTAAATCAGTAAAGCTGGAAACAAAAGAAAAGCACTTTCCATTTGCTTTCACATGAGAAAAAGGTCAAAAGAGACACATCAGGCAGCTCCTGATGTTTTATATACCTTTCCTTTTCTCAGAATTTCAGTTTGGTTTAGGGAAAAAGCTGAGAGCTCAGAGAATTCCTTTTCAACAGTTTTACAATATCCAAGATCCCAAAACAACTCCTGTATAATTTAGTGGCATTTGCCTTGTCACAAAGGTGAACTGGCATTAACACACTGGGTTTTTGCTCCTAACAACCTTTCTAGCAAGTTTTCAAATTAAGAATATGAGACTTGGATGGAAAAACAGCAATAAAAATGTTGTTTAACAAATCTGACAAAAAATAAAAAGAGCAAAAAGAACAGCCAAATGCTCTCATGGCTGGGATCAGTGAAGGCAACAGCTTCTCCATCACTTCTGATTTTTAATAAACACGGGAGGCTTGTGACACACTTTTCCTTTAGGCAAATTGAGCTGCAGCATTTTATTCCAATTCCCTGATTTGCAAAGCAAAGAGCAGTTGCAGCAGCAGAACACGGCGTGCCCTCACGGAGCACCACAGCGCTGCTCCCACACCCTGAACCCGCTGCTGCCACCACACCGGGGCAGGGACGAGCAACACCAGCAGGGCAGGAAATCTGCACAGCAAATTCATGAAAAACACCCCAAAAGTTCAGCTTTCTGGTGACTCTCCTGGTGAAGACACAACACCAGCCTGGACCCTCTTCCCACACCCAGCCCCCAACTCATCCCCATCCCAGGGCTGCCAGCCTGGGAACGTAAACTGGACTCCCACTGGGAAATAACTTGGAGGAATCACTAGAAAATCAGAATTTATAGTCACTATTCCTGGCTGCTGTTCTCTGAAAAGTGCTGCTGAGAAGGGTGAAGGAGATGGTGCCCAACAGGAGGATTTTTAAAGCCCTGGATAAATTTGAGCAACCCAAACACTTAAATGTGAGTCCAGACAATAATTCCAGAGGGAGCAGCAATGCCAGGAGTTAAATAAACCCTTATTTTAACTGGCCAAAGCCTGACCACACACTAAAAAAGGCTAAGCACAGCCTGCAGCCCGTGTGCTGCAGCCATAGCCCTGCCCTGGGCTGTTCCCCTTGGATTTGGAGCTCCAGGGTGCTCCTCCCACAGCTGGATCCCCTTTTCCCAGTGCTGGTACTGGGAGCAAAAAGCTTTGCTGGATCTGCACAGGCAGCAGGATAAAAGGGAGTGGGAAAAAACAACAAAAAAAGAAGCTGAATTTTAAAGCTTCAGCTCTAGATGGAGCATTTCCCTCGTGGAAGAGTGTGCTCAGCAGGAAGGGTTTGTCCCAGAGGAAAGGCAGTGATTTCCCATCCCACTGGTCTAAATCACAAATGAAGCTCGGTTTAGACACTCGGGGAACCCTCAAGAGCTGTGGTTTTGAGGGTGGCATTTCTGTTACATCACTTCTCCCTCCTCCCCTCCCAGCTAGGAAAAGTTGACACAGCAGAAAAGCTGGTGAAAGAAAAAGGCAACAGAAGGAATAATAACCTGCTTAAGTGTTGAAATTCCCCTCAAAGGCTCCAAACCAACCCCCTGCTGAAGCCTAGGAATTCTCCAGGTGGTGGACAAGCTTGCAGCACTTGATCCTCAGAGAATATCAACTGGAAAAGGATGGATTCAGAGAGATTTCTTCTTTCCAGAGAGATTTATTGAGGAAGAGAGCTGACTCCTGCTTGTGTATATCCCACCAGAGGGGTTGGAGAAGGGATGCAGAGCTGACCCTCTCTCCAGCCTGTTTTGGGGTTGTTATGGCAGCTGTGTGTCCATCAATTCCAAATCCATTAGAAATTTCAATAAACCCATAACCCAGATTTCCCAGGTAAAGGGAAGCAGGGGCTGGCTAGTTTTGGAGAGCAATTCCCACTTCCAAGAGATGCACACCTGGACATTGAAATGCCCTTTATTTACTCCTGTAATTCCTGCTAATACCCTGCAGTGATTAATTAACGAGCCACTGAGGGTGCCCAGTGACCCCTAACCTGAGGGAGCTGCTCCAAAATCCCTTTTTCTCTGGAAAAGAGTGGCTGGGTGGCTCCAAGACACCTTTTCCTACAGCCCCAGGGAGGGAAGGAGGGTGCAACTCTTTCCTGGGGTGTTCTGGAGGCAAGGCAAGGTGGGATAACAGTGCTGGGAAGGAAAAATCCATCCCTGCCATTCCCACCCATCCTGGGAGGCTGCATCCACACAGACCTTGGATCTCCTTCACCTCAACACCACCTTCCCCAAACCTCAGGCTGTTCAGGCAAATAAAAAACAAAACATTTTGCTTTAAAGAACTGCACTACAAAAAGGTGATTCTGAGGAAAAGAGGATTGGGATTCAACTGGAAGAACTGCACGTCTCTCAGGGCATGACAATGTCTGGCCCAGGGGTTTATTGAGCGTGAAAGGCAGGGAGGGGGAGAGAGGGGGGGGGGACAGAGAGAGGCTGCAGTCTCCTTTCCACAGCTCTGGCTCCTCAAGGAGAGGCAGGTGGAGGAAGGATAAATCCAAACTGGCTCTTTGCCCGGAGCTGCCACAGCCCTGCTCCGTGGGCTGATAGGATCTTTTGCTTGACCACTTTCTAAGCTGGTGGGGTTTTTTTTCATGGATGAAAAGAAAATGAAGCTTTTTTTTTTTTTTTTTTTTGATCAACAGAAAAAAAAAAAAGTGCAGCTGTGGAGGAAAAAAAATGCCTGATATTATTATTATCATTATTCCTCCAGCAAATCTCCTCTTAAGGGAGAAGGAAAAACATCAACAGAGCAGTTTCCTGTGACCTCTGAGGGACTGGAGTCTGCAGGAGTCACAGAGATATAAATATTTCCAAGAAAGGAATTTTGGAAGTTCACAAATCCTTTTTTGCTGCCAATTTTTGTGTAGGTAGCCTTAAATGAAAGGAAAAAGCCCTGTAGATAACCCCCAGTGACAATGGCTAATGGATATGGATCTCACGAGTAGGAATTTTCCTGATCCATGTAAGGATGGTAAATATTTTAATTTTGGTTAATATTTTTTCTCCAGCTCTTCCCCTGAAGAATTCCTCCATGGCTTCTGTAGCCAGATATCTGTCTGTCCTGGTATTCCCTTGCTTTGGGAAGTGTTTAATTCCAACTACAAAATGTTTATGTCTCTCCCAGGAATCTGCAGGACACGGCACCAAGGAATCACTGGGAGGAAAATCTGCTTCCTAAACCTCCTGAATATTCAGCCTGAACATACATTAAATAAACATGAATATACATGAATTAAACATTGCCTCAATAGTTTCAAACATTAAGACAGTCGTCTGGAGGAAATTCCAGCTGCAAGAACATGTTGGGAGAGTTTATGGAGCATTAATGAACAAGTATCTGCTCTGGAAATCCAAAACCACCACAGGGCATGCAAAGGTGGAGGGCAGGATGCTGTTTATCCTTTAGGAAATGGGGGGATAATGGGGCTGGAGTCACCCAAAAGGTCTTAGTGGTCAGGATTTAATCCATGGAGGTGGCACTTGGGAGAGTTTGGAGATGGCAAAGAGCACTGCAGCCTTGCAATTCCCTGCTGTCACTGCCTGTGTGAGCTCTGACACTCGAGGGTTTTGGCACTAAAACCAAGTTGACACCTCAAGGGTTCTGACTAAAGGGGACCTCAAGTTCTGACAGGATGAGATGGAATTTTTCATGCAAGAGCGAGCAGGACAGTCCAACCTGGACTGGGCCCTTCCACTGTGGGAAGCACAGGATGAGAAGGAGAAGGTACAGGATCAGAACAGGCACATGTCACTGCCAGTGACAGGACTGGCAGGGAAGAGAAGGGCTGAGTTTCCCTTTGCTCTGAGCACAGCACGTCCTGCTCGGTCCCACAGCACCCAAACCCTGCCCTGAGTAAACAGTGCATTTATTCCTGTTTGTACACGGCTGCCACAGCCCCGGCAGTGTCCCAGGCCAGGCTGGACGGGGCTTGGAGCAACCTGGGATAGTGGAAGGTGTCCCTGGCCATGGCAGGGGGGGAATGGGATGAACTTCAAGGTCTGTCCCAGCCAAAGCCATTCCACGAAGGACATGGAGCTGCTGGAGCCAGTCCAGAGGCCAAGGAGGGCTGGAACCCCTCTCCTCTGGAGGCTGGGAGAGCTGGGGGTGCTTACCTGGAGAGGAGAAGGCTCCTGGGACACCTCAGAGCCCCTTCCAGGGCCTAAAGGGGCTCCAGGAGAGCTGGAGAGGGACTGGGGACAAGGGACAGGACACAGGGAATGGCTCCCAGTGCCAGAGGGCAGCGATGGATGGGATATTGGGCAGGAATTGTTCCCTGGGAGGGTCACACGGGTTACCCCGAGCTGCGGCTGCCGCATCCCTGGAAGCGTCCGAGTTTCCCCAGGGTTTGCAGCAACCTGTGGAAGGTGTCACTGCCCGTGGCAGGGGCTGGCCTAGATGGTTCTAGGGCCTTTTCCCAGCCCAAGCAGAGCTCCAGGCTGAGCCCAGCCCAGCAGGGCTCTCACCTGTCGGGGGCTGCCCGTAGGACGTGGCGTAGGCTGTCTGCCCGTACGTGGCCGTGGTCTGCGGCTGCGTGTAGCTGACGTCGGTGGGCTGCCCGTAGGTCCCGTAGCTCTGCTGCCCGTAGGTCTGCTCCAAAAGGACACAGATTCAATCCATGAGCACCAGTGACCCCCAGGAATTGCAGTTGCTGAGCACTCTCAAAGCCAAGGCTGCTGTGAAAGTTTAGGTGCTGCGAGAAATTCCGGGTCAGCTCTGCAAGGAGGTTATGGAGTGGTTTTTCCCTGCCAAGACTGAAGGAACAGGCTCTTGACATTGTCACCACACACCTCTGCTCTGTGGAAAGCAAACAAGAAAGCTCCCAGCTCCTCACAGCTACCACCAGCACCCACAGGCACCATCCCAGGGTTAACCTGGAATACGGGAATGGGAGCGCTCCGAGGGTGGAACTGCACCAAGGAAAAGTCACTTCAGTGTAAAACTGCTTTGGTGTTGGCTAAAAGAAACCTCTGGAAGGTTTCAATTAAATTATTGGAGTATTTTTCATGCCCATCAGCCACTAATTTGAGAAATGGGAGTCGGTGCAGCCATGGAAGGATGGGATCCATGGGCACACCCGAAGTACCCCAGGGGTGCTGCTCCCATTCCGGTGCCTGTGCATTCAGTGAGGGATCAGCTCTCACCTCACCCATTCCCTGATTTTGTTTCCAAACCCAGCTTGAAAATCACCAAGGAGAGGAGCAGCTGTGCCCAGCAGTGTCACCAGCTGCCCAAGCCATGCCCTATCAGCTCATGCTCCAGGCACCAGCAAGCTTCCAACAGCTCCTGGCTTAGGGTAAAACTCTGGATACAGCTCGAGGAGTGACATGGAGACAGCTTTAACCTCCAGATTCTGAAAGAATTCAGACTTCTGGAGAGCCTGGACTTTCTGGGATGTTCAGCTTTCCTGAACTCAGGGCACAGGTCTGAACCAGGAGCAGGAACACATCTCTGCCCCTGGAAGTTCCCTCCACCAAGAGGCAGGGAATGCTGCTAACTTCCCATGGACACGTGCCTACAGCTGAGTTTAGCTGGTTAGGGGTTTAATTAGCTGGTTAGGTGTTTAATTAGCTGGTTAGGTGTTTAATTAGCTGGTTTTAGTTGCTGAGGCCTCCTGTTCCTACCCTTGTCATCCTGCTCCCACCTTTCACCTCGCCTACAACTGGGAGCAGCACTTCCAGTTGTTGTCTCCAAAGAATTTTATTTTAAATAAGTCACCATCACCTTCCTTTCAGCCCACACTGAGCCTGTCTTCCTCCTCTTGGGAAGGAAAATTAAGCCTACAGCACTTTTTGAGGACAAGAATTTACCTTTGGGAACATACTTGGAGTTTGCAGACAAATGTGGTTGTAGTAACTTGGATTCTAAAGGTTAAAAATAAGCATTAAGTTAATCTCTTAAAGACCATCATTATTTTGCAGTCCAGCCAACTGAGAGTATGAACAATTATAGCAATAAAGACTCCAGGAAAAAACTGATTCCCTCCTCCTCCTTTGTCCAATTCTGCCATCTCCCAAAAGGCAATTCCCCCCCCCTTTTCCCCAGTTTTTTTCTCTCCTACACCTCTGATTACAACACCCACCAACGTGGTGGTGTCAAACACACACCAAGAGTTTGGCTTTTCTGGGATCAGGATTGAATAAATTAACAAAAGGAAGGGGGATTGTTGAGGTTATTTCCACTTTCAAAAAGCACTTTGGGCTGGGGGAGAAGCTCCAAGACAACTTTTAACCACGGATTTTGACGCAGCCGCTCGGATTTTCTCCCAGCTGCACGTTTTCCTGGAAAACAGGTGACTGAGCAGGAATTCTACCCCATCCCCATCTTTTACCTGGGTGGTCTGTGCATATCCTTGGGCTGGCTGAGGTGCATAGGCGCTGTAGCTGTGGAATGAATGTAAAGACATTTATAATCTTGCCCCAAATCTGCATCACCAGACAAATTTTCACGCAGCCCAACGGTTTCAGCTGAAATTCTATGGGAATACAAAGCTCCAGGAAAACCCTCAGGATTTCCAAACATACCTGAGTCAAGCCCAAACCATAATTATTATTTACTTTTATTACATCTTTTTAAAACAGGGAGGATAAGCTACTTACCCCTGCTGAGCTGCAGCTTGGCTATAGGTACTGTAATCTAAAAGAAAAGGAGAAGAAAAAGAATAAAAACATTGATAAAGGCTTAACAAAATTAAAGAGTCCAAGAGCTCAGCAGCTGGAATTTCCTCCTGCAGCTCGCTATAAACCACTGGAATTCCAGTTTCCCAAGGGTGGAAGGTAAATGCACATTTTCAGTCATTTTTTTTGAGGGGAACAAAACCTCTCTTCCCCTCATTGTTCCTGCTGCTTGCAGCAGCGACTTTGATCTCAAATGACCCCGCTTCAATTTAACTGCCACCTTGGATGGATCCCAGGGGGCTGGCAGGGGGGGATTGGGGTTGGAACAAAGGAAAAACAGGGATTTGAGCCTTACAAACCCACCACCCTGCTTTGAAAGGGCCAGGCTGGAAGGTTTCACCACCTTCACTCTTTCCCTTTCAAGGACACAGATCGATGGCTGGAAAGCCACTTGTTCCCTGGAAGGGCTGGAGCTGGGAAGCTGGGAGTGATTCCCCCCCTCCAAATCCTCAATCCATGTCAGCCTGGGAGGGGAACCAAGCAGCAAAGCCTGTGCTGAACTGATTTGCTGGCAGGGATGGAAAATGAATCCACATGGCAATTAGGAGGCTAAATTTGAAATGCCTGCAGCTCCCAGTTCCCTCACCAGCACCAACAGCTCCAGCTCCCATCCCAGGGTCTGGAGCGGGGATGAATTCATCATTCCCAGCACACCTGGCCACAGATTCTGGCTCTCCCAGGACCACAGAAGGCCTGAGACTGGGAATGAGCCCAGAACTTCCTGGTTGAGGCCACAGCACCTGAGCCAGAGGCAGGAGCTGGATCAGTGGAACTGTTCCCAGACATTCCTGTGTGGGAGGAGTTTCCAGTGCTCCCATCACCATCACACCTTGGACAGAATTCCAAGTTAATCCCAGAACCATGGAATATCCTGAGGTGGGAGAGACCCACATGGATCAGGTTCAACTCCTGCCTTGGAGAATTTGAGGAAGCAACTGCCCAGCTTTAATTAATCATCCCACTACTCCCAAGGTGATGGAGCTCCAGGAATCACTTGGGAAACACAGCTTCCATCCACCTCAACCTCCTGTTCCTCAGCCTGTGCATCCAGCCCTACTAAACCTTTCCTCCCCACCCTCCAGGTGCACTCCCAGCTTTTCCTGCTGCTCCCTGTGCAGGAGCAGAGCCCCTGGATCCGTGCTGGAGGCAGGAGTGGCCCTGCTGTGATCCCAGCAGGAATTCCTGGCGTTATTAATTCCCTTGACCTTGCCCAGAGCACCTCACACGGAGAAAGAAGACACCTGGAGTTCTCCAAAGGTTTCCCCGCTCCCAGGACACAAGGCACAAGTTGTTAAACTCCTCTGGCATCATTCCCACTTCCCTCTCAGGTTGGCACGTGGAATATTGGAACATTTTCCTTGTTCGGTTCAGGGTTTTTTTGCTTTTCTTTTTTAATTCACTTTACACGTGGTTCTGCTAAATCCTGAGTGTTAATTAATGGTCCCACTCATCCAGCTTCCCTTTCCTACCACCTCCTCATCCCACTCTTTTCCCTGCTCACCCTCCAGCCACCGAAACCTCATTTAATTCTCCATTTTCAGCCTCCTTTTGGCCTCAAGCTCCACACAGGGGCATCAATTAACCCCTCTCCTCACAGCCCTGCCCCACTCCCAACATTTGCCCCTTTCCAGGATTTAATTCCAGGTCTGGAATTTGAAGTTTGCCTGTGGTGATGCCTCTCTTTTAATTTGCTGGGATTCAGAGGAACACAGAACATTAATAAAAAATAATATTATGGTTCGTTTAGTTAAACCCATCTCCTGGCTTTTATTTCCAGGGGGAAATTAATCCTCATCCTTTTATTTCATGAGGCTCAGGAGCACACCAGAGGCTGAAAATAGCAGCTCCCAGGAGGAACAATTCCATGAATTAAGGGAAAACACAGCTGTGGTTTTAACCCCCATTTTGACAATTCCATTGGCAGATGTTCCTTTACTGACTTTCCTTTTTCAAGCTCTCCAAGGTGCTGTTGGTGATATTCCCTCACTCTCCATGGCCTGAGACATTTTCCTTTCTGGAAAAAAGGAAAATCCTCCTTCTTTAAGGAGTCAGATCTTGGGCTGCTGGGCTTTAAAGTACTTTAAAGGTGATGTTGGCACAGTTGGGAAGTCTCAGTTTCCAACTATTTGTGTACAGCTGGAGCCCTCGTGGAAAAAACATTTCATTCAGATAAATCCGGAGCCATGGAAATGATGGAACACCTTACTTCCCTATGGGGAAAAGCTGGGAGAGAAGGCTCCAGGGACACCTCAGAGCCCCTTCCAGCGCCTTAAAGGAGCTCCAGGAGATCTGGAGAGGGACTGGGGACAAGGGATGGAGGGACAGGACACAGGGAATGGCTTCCTACTGCCAGAGGGCAGGGATGGATGGGATATTGGGCAGGAATTGTTCCCTGTGAGGCGCTGGAATGGATATCCCAGAGGATGCTCCAGCTCTGGAAGTGTTCAAGGCCAGGCTGGACGGGGCTGGGAGCAACCTGGGCTAGTGGAAGGTGTCCCTGTCCATGGGATAAGGTTTAAGGTTTGTTCCCACCCCAAGCATTCCATAATCCCCATGTGCACCCAAAGCCGCCCCGCGGCGCCGGCAGGGCCGAAAGCGCGGAGGGAGCCCCGGCTCGGTGCTTCGCTCCTGGGAGCGCGGAGCTCCGGGAATCCCGCGGGGCCGCAGCTGAAGCACCGGACCCTGAGGGGAAACACCCGCGGCCCCGGCGAGGCCCGAGCGGGCG